ACTACACAGGACCACTTGTCACAGGCTACAGCAATAATGTATTTACATTTCACAATATACCAGATGGACAGAAGCTCGAACTAAGATCAGAATATGGCTTTGAGATTGGATGTACTTCTGGTTCCAATGCTAACTGGCTTCCTGGCAATGCTAAAGAAGTCCAAGGGACTGATGGCATAATGGTCAGCTTTCCCTCTTGTCCTACTGGATACACTGCAACTGCTGTGAGGTACAGTTGGATGGAAGATCCCTGTCCATATCTCAAGTGTGCTGTTTATTGTGATGGGCTACCATCACCTCCTTTTGTTATTCAACTATAAAAATGTGGCTGCTGCTTTATCTTTGCTTTAAAATTATTTAATCTAATGGCTACCTTTTATAGATACTGTTGCTGATTGTAAAGCTATAAACATGGCTTGCATTCCTTATATGCAAATTGTATGAATTTAGATTTTTTATTGTTATCAAAAAATGAATAAAGATATAAAGCATATCAGCAAAATGCAGCAGTCAGCTTCTTTCTCTGTTACAGCACAGCAGGCACAAGTCAAACACGTTCATGAATAGGAATAATGTATGGAGGAGATGGAAAGAGGTAATCGCTTCCGCTGTAGATGGCACATTTTTTGAAGACACAAGGATCCTGTCTCCAGGCATAACGTATCTCCTCTCCAACAGCATCCCCAGCAGGACAGCGTGGAAATGACACAGTGACATAGTCATTCATTACAGTATCCAGTGTGCCCTCTATCCACGAAACAGTATTTCCGGTTCTCTCCTTGCAGGACAATTCAAAGCCATACTTTGAGAAACTGTATAGCTTGTCCTCCACGTTCCTGTACATGATTTTAGCTGATATTGTCTCCCTTAGGTCAGTAATGGTTGCAGAGACTGGTAGAGGACCAGTATAGTAGAGAGAAGTGTCTCCATAGGCAATGGCTCTGCCTGCTCTGCTTAATCTTATTGCAACATCTTGCTTATCTCTTGGATGAACGCTTCCATGAGGTGATGTTGGATCACCAAGATCCATAGCTACAGCCATGAAGACATTTGGTAGGAGATCATTTGGAACAATGCCGTGACCTCCGGTCAGTGACCACCTGATCCCTGGGAAAAACCCAGCTGATTTATTACCCTCAGTCCCTTCTGCAGCTAACTGTATTTGTAATATACATTCATGTATAAATACTGTAGAAATTAAAGTCTTCTGCTTACTTGTACAAAACCAAATGGGAAATCTATTTTCGTTTGTTTATCTGTTCCTTCGTACCACTTCAGTCTCCAATCTTTGATCATCTCAGAAAAATAACAACGATACAAGGCATCTTCTTCATCTATCAGTCATTATAATAATAATAGTAATGATAATGTTACTCATTTTGTGTGGAATAATAAACCTGATCTTGCATTGGCTTCTCCTTGATACCAAATAGCTCCATATATTGGGAACCTGACAAAAGGATGGATCATTGCATTCCACAAGTTTGAAGGATAAAGACCAGCTCTCGCTTCATTACTAGTTTGCCTGATAATCATAAATTAGTTAAAATTATGCATAAAATTAATGCCTGCATACTTGCACTTTCCAAGAGCATCATGAGAAGACCATTTATCAATTGATGTTCCACCCCAATCTGATGATATAAGACCAATTGGAACTTTATATGTATCATAGAGATCACGGCCGTATAGAGTACATTATCAATGATCGTACACCATCAATTTTCGGACACTTGTTTTAGGAAAACTATACATTGCCATCTCATGAAACTGCAAAGTATTATAGCAATAGTTATCCGTTATTTGCGTGACAAAACTTGTAGCTCTAGCAAGAGTGCATAGAAAGTTATAAGCTCTCAAAGCGTGGTGTCCGACAATACCAATGATCGGCCAAAATTCTCAATCTTCGGACTGTCATTTCTGAACGGCAGCAAAGGATAGTTTTAGAAGGTCACTATAATAACTTTGTAGGCCTGTCTTTAAACTAACTACCACCATCCGGATCTTTATGATAGCTGTCTTTTTGACAGAGATAATGGC